GGGAGGCGATCGGATGATACGACTGGCATCAGTACAAGGCCGCATTGACCGTGATTGCCACATCCACCGTGTCTCTGCATTCATCTTGTACCACGGGCAGCTGTCGGCTCCACTTAGAATCATTACTGAGTTGTGGAACCGCTGTCTAAGGAACACTTTTGGTCTGGATACTTGTAAGTCTCTCGATCCCTGCATACGGATTGATAGACGTACAAGCCGACACAGCGAGTTGGTATTTTATACAAATCAGTGGCTCTGCAGCTCAATAGTTAGGAAGCTGAGTGATGCGGACGAGTTGTGCGGAGTAGAAGATGAAATGCAGATATACGGTGGGTGTGGCAACTAAGGTCAATGCGGTGACATACTAATGCCAGTCGCACCATCCGATCACCCTGTTCTGGGAGAGTGCTCGCCAAAGGAGGGGAGTAGACTGATTCACTGACCACTAGTGAACTGAGAGAAGGCGTCTTCTAATTCGAGCATTGTCCTGAGGCTGTATTCATTCATTCTTTGCAGCATCGTTCACCAGCATGCAGCAGCGTCTAAGAATAGAGAGTATGGGGAAGTAGGAGGGTGGCAGACAGCTGGATTAGGCGTCTTGAAATGCGGCGTGTGCAACCGCACAGTACAACTGCTAGAAAATAGAATTATGCAATTTAATGTCTACCTCAGTGTAAAAGTACGGTGCGGTTGCACACGCCGCAATTTAACGACGTCTTACCAAGTTGTCTGCCACCCTCCTACTTCTCTCCACCCTTGGACGCTGGTAGACGCTGGCTTTCGCTAGATCGATAACTATACTTTCCTACTCGCTGACGGACACTCGAAACATTGGTGGTCGCGGGTGGACGCTGCCGCAAAGTATGAACGCAGCTTAATCGGTCTTCCCATCTAGTCCTTTGGCGCGTATGCTTCCGATTCCGATTCCCTCGATTCGTAGTTTTTCCACATTCGAAAAATACGAAAACGTTTCTGGCTTTCAGAGTGTTTACGAGTGCACTAATGTTCTGGTTACTTTTCAGAGTGTTCTTCTCTGTTGCGTCGATTCCTCTACTTCCAAGTATATACCCTATGGACAGACCAGTACAAGCACCTGATGTCGGCTCGTCTTCTCTCTAGTTGTCTTCTGGTCTATGTATAAGTGTATTCATAATCATGTAATATTAGCGATTGCAATGTATTCCGACTAGCTATATTGTTTATTTAGCATCTATAGCAGTTTAGGACAGAGTCCTCCACTTTATCTAATCCATTGCGCTTTCGTCGTTCCTCTCAATTTATCACTTTTGCTATACCCTTCTTCGTTCCGTCTTTTCCACTGATGCCACTTTTATACGTGACTCACATTCTCGTAATCTTTTCACATTTTTCTCAACAGATGGAACATAGCGCTCTCCAAAGGAAATATTTAAATCATTAATTTACTTAAGTAAATGCGGGAAAACTACTATTGCCGTGGTATCATAACTGACCTCTTTCCACAACTGCCAATATGCTCTATATCCAACATTTATTCGAAGTTCACTAATTATTCTTATTGAATCAGAACAGGCTTATTTTCGGAGTTTCGTCAATGCTCGTTATTCCATTGTCGATTGAACGGTTCTAAACCTTGTGTTCTGGCCAATAAAGGTTCGAAGGCGTTTCCATAGGAAAAGTGTTTCAAATATGTGGTCCGGAACACGGAACCATTGGTACCGGCATGGTTTTAAAGTATGGCGCGTTTGACTGCGTTCAGTTCGCTAGGACGCGCGTGGTAGCGCGTCGAAGCGAGACAACGCAAACGATTGCTGTTCAACGCATTGCAGACCATTTTTTTTATGATGCTTTATGTCCGAAAACGAATGTCTGTATCGCCTAATTCCAAAATAACTAGCTGCCAGTGCCGATTGACGCTTAGCCATGATGTCGTCGTCCCCCCCCCCCTGCGGCTTCGCCGACGCGTGTTATCGCGAAGTGTGAACGCAGCCTCGCAGCTTAATAGCTGGAAAGTTACAGCCTGGCAGCTATAGAGCTGGAAAGTCAAGAACCGAGTCACCCCACTGCAACGAGCACAGCGCGGAGGTCAAACCATGTTAGGAGTCGATGATGTCATCGTAGGAACACCACCGTAAGATGGTTGAGGTCCCTGGGAAGGTATAATAAACTGCACGCTTCCCTCCGAAGAGGGCATTTCATGTGCGAGGTGAATTGGGCAACTGCTGTAGCGTGCCACTTTCTCCGGGGAGACGGGCAAGAGAATCGTAATTTGCCGCTCCGCCCGCGCGGCGATGACGCGGCGTTTTCTTAACTCGTGTTAACCTGTCGATTAGAGCACCGGACTTCATGTAGACCCCGTCATCGTAGACATTCATGACTATTTCGGTCCCGAATTGCACG